TCTGGCCATCATCGCTCTCCTATAAACTATCCAATTCAACTTTGTTTCTCGTCCAAAAAAATGAAGATGAATAGCTCCTTAATTGAACCTGTCACTTCAAGTGATAATTAGACAAGGAAAAATTTATTCAGTTTTACCAATCACAATTATGTTGCTAACGCTGAAAAATTTGAGGTTTACGTTTCTTGTTATTAGTGGAGGAGTAGAACACATTATTGGGAAGCGAAACTTGAGTGCAGCTTTGTTTTTCACTCGGTGTAAACTTTTTTACCGATATTTTTCTTTATATTTTCCGCGTTTTAAGTAGCTTACTTAGGTGAGGAGCAGATTGCAGGTGAGCGGGTGGTCGGCACAGATGGAAAATGTATTTGCTTTATAACTGCTTTTGTTGTGTTTTTTTAGAAAGATTCTTTGTACTTTCGGTTTTCCAGGAATCTGAGTGAAGTTCCTGGAAAATGAAGTTGGAGTACAAATTCACGACATGGAAATGTCAGCGGCGTAACGAAGTTTGGGCGTGAGATGGTGAGTAAGCGTGCACTAAGGGAATGTTCTGGAGATTCTGGAGTATAATTTGGAGAAAGCACTTGGTTTTCTGTAAATTTGTCCGGCCGAGCTTACTAGTTGAAGCTGCATATCTTGACTCGAGAACTCATGTTCGAAGTGAGAATGTGTAGTAAAATACTTTTCAAGCTATCAAATTGGGGTGATGAATAAGTAGAATAAGTGGGTTCCCCGTGAACAGAATGTCAACTAACTGTTTCAACTGTTTCGGGTCAGTTATTCGTTGTTTCGACCCAGTAAATTTGTTAAGTTTTTTCACTAGTGCTGTCTGTACTGTTATTTCCGAATACCACAAATGTGAATATGACAGTTTTGAACTAGTGTGTATCGGTTATGTTTGGGGGGGGGGGGACGTAGTAGCCTGGAGTCGGGAAAAAAAAGTTGAAATTTGAAGGAGATAGCAGTTAAAGGTAACAACTTAATTTTATTTTTTTGTTAGTTGTTTTACCACTAGCAGTTATTTGAAAAACTGAGCTCAAAGTTTTTCTAATTATTAATAACTTATTTTGCGGCTGTTCGAGAAGTGACCTACAATAGTTTTGAGGATGTTTCGTTTTTAAGTTCATCGAAGCTGGTAAGAATGTCTGAAGCACTAGAAATTATGTTTGTCAGTGGGAATCGATTTTTTCTAATTATGATAGGCAAACGTTTCTATTTCTTCAAAAAAAAAAAAGAATGATATCTTTCTTTAGAGGATTGCTGGAGCATTAGTTGGAATATGTTTTTTAAAAAAAAAATTGTTTTTTGTAATGCACTTCAATTCATTTCAGGGAAACGTGTATTTTTTTGATAAAATTTATCACAAATTTTTCTGCTTTGCTTCTGTACGTGACTGCCTCGTATCAGTGAAATAAAGTGACTGAATTTGAAGCATTTTAACTCTGTCTGATCTGTTGACACATTTGCCAGCTACGGCATTTTTTAACTGTTATTCTGATAATCAGGAATTCTGTTTTTTCAAGATTGAATTCCTCCTTTTTTAGGCTTTTTTCTACGCATCGCGGTTTTTATGTTAGACTGGAGTTGCCAGAAATATCTGCAGAGGGGTTTGCTCACAAGTGTACGAATCGTGGTCAGCTAGTACTAAAACATTTTTGTTCTTGCTATATTTGGATTGATAGGGTGGTTACATAAACTATGGGGAAGTTGGTTTTTTGATGAGCCTAAAACGACGAAGGGATTGTTCAGTGTTGAATGTTTGTCGTCCAGGGTGCTGGGTGACTCAAACGTTTCGTTGCTTTTAGTTCTCGTATGGGAACGTTCATAGATTCTGTGGCCATTTCAGTAGATTTTTTTTCTATTTGGATGCGAAGTAAAAGATGAAGGAGCGTTTTGACGATGCTACTGTTCAGCGGGTTCGGCCAATTTTTTTTTT